TAATTACATTGAACCTTATGGGGAAATTTCCTTCAGGTTGCGACCAGTTCGGGGTACGACCAGAGTCACGGAACGAATTAAGTTCGTAAACCGAGGTTTCACTGTAATGTGGCAGAGAATTCCAGAACTTCTAACTCTGCTGTGTGGGGGTCCTTTCATCTGTCCTAGACCTTTTACTGTTAGAGAAACATGCAAAAAAAAATTCTCTCATCATTTTGCTCTATAATTTTATAAGCCAGAAAAATGGTTGCTCCTTATAAAGAAGTGTTCAAACTCCTTGTTCATTGTTGGAATTTAGTTAGTGCTTGTTTCTCGCTCTTTTTTAGGTGCAGCCATAGATTTAGTCTATATTCCAACATGTGTTGTGACATGATTGTACCAAAGGGATGGGGTTTGCATTGTGGCAGCCCATTGTGATGAAAGCATCAGGTTTTGCAGATACCTCTGTTCATAAGAGAGCTACAAGAGAGGGAAAATTCTCCCTAATAATCCATGGCATTGAATTTACCTTTATTACAATGCTGTACACTAGGACATTTTAATCAAACCATCCGCTATGATCCTGGATTATTACTATTTGTGTATATTTGTCAAGTGTGACAAAGGGTTCCTGAGAGTTTTAGACTTTTCACTTTGTTTGCTGCTTATGTAATTGAATAATCTGATGGTATCTGTAGTTTGATCACCTCACCATACACCCATGCAACCCGAGTTTGATCATGAACATGTTATACAGAGATAAATAAAAAAGCTGATCCCTCTCAGAGGGGATAATATTTCTTTCTAGTTAAGATATAGCTGGGAGTAAAAAAATGTACAATATAATGATTATGACAGTGTTACTATGTAGTCGTGAGTGATGCAGAGGTTAAAGTGTGATGCTAGGCCTAGAAGGACCATTGAAACTCACCAGGTAACTTTGGACCAGTTGCTTTCTTTCAGGGGGAAGGGGGAGATGGAGGTAAGGAATGGGAATGCTATGTACATTATCTTGATCTCCTGGAGATAAAAAAAATCTACAACAAAACAAATAAAATAGGGTGGTATATCTGTAAAGTTATTTGTCCTTTTTTACTCCTAGGATGCTGGAATATGGTATATATTTCATAAGGTTCCTACAGGAGAATCTCATGGATTGTTCCTTGAAACAAAAGCTGAACTTACCCCTCTGGGAATTTTCTATAACAACAAGGTCCATTCCAACTTCAAGGTAACTGAATGTGCTCATGTTTTATAGGCTTTATGAATGGGTGGTGAACTGAATTAAACAACATTGGTTGTAGTCACTTAAGACAAGTAATAATTTAACCAAAGGCATTCTTTAATATGTTTAGGTGAAAGGAAGTCCTGGAATTTCAATGTAACTTGTTTGTAATAAGTATGGTTGGAATTATAGCTATTATTCTTAAGTTATTCTGTGTTTCATTTCATTCATTCATTTATTCATTTTGAAATATTAATTATGTTTTTTAATAAAATGAACCATATAACACAAAAATGTGAGTATGCATGCTGCCAAAATCTTTCCAAAGATTTATTATTTGTTGTATGCATATCTGATATGTGTGTGTTTACAGGGAACATCTTTGTAAAAATATTTTGTTACTAATCCTAATGAAAGAGCTTGAAGGGAACAGGAATAGAGCAGTATAGATCCACATTGTGTTATTCAACTGTGTAGATTAGATATATTAACTGAGATTTCATGGTCTCACTTGTAAGCAATCAGATATTTCTTTTAAGATTAGTTCACCTGATCATGTAGTTGAAGATACTGAGCAGGTACAAATAACCAGATAGAATCACCTGGTTAGTATTTATTGACACTTGACTACATACTTTTTTAGTGGCCAAAAGTACTTATTTGGTATATGCCTTGACAATGGAATGCCTTTATCTGTAGCCTAGTCATTTATATAGCTTGTTTTTGAACTTCCAGCAATACTTTGGGGTTCTTCCAACTGCAGTCGCTGCAGAGAAAGGTTTCATATTATTTTTGGCTTAGCATACTTAGATTTTTAATGTAGAAAAAAATGCACAGTGACCTTTCCTGATCTTCTTCTTTGTCTTGGTTTGGAACCTTAGTTAAAAATATATTTCTGAAATAATCTCTTCCCTACTCTTAAATGACTTTTTGAGAATGAGATGGAAAGTGCGTCAAATTCCCCAGTTAACCTTTTTGAACTATTATAATCAAAGGGATTTTTTTTCTTCCAAGCCTATAAAAACTATTACTCTTAAAACTAGTGGATACATTGCAATTGCAGTTTATATATGGTGCTGTATAAAATACAGAATACCATTCTGAAGAATATGTAGATTGTGTTTG